TGTGAGGATGAATCCTCTAAGTTTCACTGGTCCGAGCACTACTAAGGATCCAAAGAAATTTATTGAGGAACTGAAGAATATATTTGAGGTTATGCATGTTGCCAATACTGAGTGAGTTAAACTAGTTGTATATCAATTGGCGAATGTTTCTAGGACATGGTTTGATCAATGGAGAGAGGGTAGAGTTGAGGATGCAACACGTGCGAGTTGGGCATGTTTTGAGGAGGCTTTCTTAGGGTGTTTCTTCCCTCGAGAACTGAAAAAGGCTAAGGTGCGAGAGGTTGTCACACATAGGTAAAATACTTAAGCGTCTATGACTACAGGTTGAAGTTCACTCCCAATTATACCATTTTGCTCCGAAGATGGTTGCGGATATGAGAGTAGAATGAGCCTGTTCATTGCAGGTTATCCCATCTATCTAGCAAAGAGGGAAGGGTCGTAATGTAGACATGAATATCTCAAGGTTAATGGTCTATATACAACAGGTTGAGAAAGAGAAGCTGAGGGATAAAGAGGAGTTCAAGAACAAAAGAGCTAAGACACGGAACAAGTCCGGACAACATAAGAGTAATAAAAACTGGTCATCCTTCCAACATAAACAGAAGGGATCTGCTCTGTCATCTACTAGTTCACCTGCACCTATGAATAAATGTGAGTACAATAGCCAGAATTTCAAAGCTAAACCTACCTATTACCAAGGTAGCATGGTGCAAGGGAGTAGTAATTCTCCTGCCTACACTAAGTCTGGTAGAAACCACTTGAGTATTTGTCGTGATGGATCCACTGGTTGTTTTAAGTGTGTCTAGAATGTTCATCTCTTGGGGGAATGTCCAAAGAACAAGCAGGGTAATGGTAATGGGGGCAATAGAGCTCATTCTTCTTCAGTTGCTCCACCAGACAAAACAACACCTATAGGGGCTACCTCCAGTAATGCCGGAGGATCAAACCATTTATATGACATCAATAGTATCCAAGATTAAGGGGATTCGCCAGATGTTGTCACTGGTATGCTCTAAGTCTTTGACTAAACTATTTATGCTTTGCTAGATCGAGGAGCGAGTTTATATTTTGTAACTCCTTATGTTGCTATGAATTTTGATGTTATTCCAGATCAACTTAGTGAACTATTCAGTGTTTCTACACCTGTTGGTGACTCTATTCTAGCAAAGAGAGTTCATCGTGATTATCTTATTTTCGTCAATTAGAAGAGTACCATGGCTAATTTAATTGAGTTAGACATGATAGATTTTGATATCACTCTTGGTATGGGCTTACTTCATGTCTGTTATGTCTCAGTTGATTGTAGAACTCGAGTTGTCAAGTTTTATTTTCAAATTAGCCTGTCTTTGAGTGGAAATTAGTTCAGTAGTGCCTAAAAGACATTTCATTTCATACCTTAAGGCAAGGAAGTTAGTTTCTAAGGAGTGTGTCTATCACTTAGTACGAGTTAATGAATGTACTGTTGAGATACCTCTTATCCAGTCAGTTCCAGTATAAAAGAGTTTGCAGAATCTTTCCAGATGATTTACTCGGAGTCCCTTCTGAGAGAGAGATAGACTTCTGTATAGATGTTCTCCTAGATACTCATCCTATATATTTTCCAACATATAGAATGGAAGCAGTATAGTTGAAAGAACTTAAGGAGTAGTTAAAAGTTCTCTTTGATAAGGGTTTCGTTTGACTAAGTGTCTCACCTTAGGGCGCTCCAGTCTTATTTGTGAGAAAGAAAGATGGTTCCCTTAGGATGTGTATAGATTACCCTCAATTGAACAAGGTTACCATCAAGAACAAATATCCTCTCCCAAGGTTACCATATACTTGTTTCTCCAAGATAGATCTCCGATCTGGCTACCATTAGTTAAAATTAAGGGAATGTGATATTCCAAAGACAGCCTTCATGACCCGTTATGGTCATTATGAGTTTCTGGTCATGTTATTCGGTTTAACCAATGCAAACTACAACGTTCATCGACCTTATGAATAGAGTTTTCAAACCTTATTTAAATATATTTTTGTTATCGTATTCATCGATGACATACTATTCTATTCAAGGAATAAAGACGATCATGCTAGTCATGTCAGAATAGTTCTCCAGACTTTAAAAGATAGGGAGTTGTATGTCAAATTCTCTAAGTGTGAGTTTTGGCGTGAGTCTGTGGCATTGTTAGTCAGTTTTGGCTTGAGTCTATAGCATTCTTAGTCCACATTGTCTCTGAAGAGGGAAATAAAGTTGATATTCAGAAAAATAGAGAAAATGTAGATTTGTGCTAGACCCACATCTCCAACTGATATTAAGAGTTTCTTGGGTTTGGCTGGCTATTCTAGAAGGGTTTTTGAGGGGTTCTCATCTATTTCACCCCCTTTGACCAAGTTAAATCAGAATACAATGAAATCTCAATTTATTTAATAGATTTATCTTTATTGATTTAAGTCTTCCATTTAAGTAAGTAAGATAGGACAAGGTCTAGCTTGGGGCCAACAATGGTTCTCGAGTGTAACTCCCACCCAATCTGTAGGCTCAGGCATGACAGAAGGTTAGTGGATGAATTTTTCTCTATTGCTTCGCATTTGATGACATCTCAAAAGAAGGTAAAATTCTTATTGTCAGAAGATTCTAAAAAGAGTCCAATAGTTGAAAGATAGACTCACTTAATCTCCGATATTAACCTTACAAAAGGATTAAATGGCTTTGTAGCGTATAGTGATGTTTCACAGATTGGACTTTGTTGTGTTTTGATGCAACACTGGGAAGTCATTGCTTATGATTCAGTATAGTTGAAGGTGCACGAAAGCATTATCTGACCCATGACTTGGAATTAGCTGTATTAGGGTTTGCTCTAACGACTTGGAGGCATTATTTATATGGTGTTCATATAAAAGTGTTTACCGACAACAAGAATCTGAAATGTTTGTTCACTCTAAAGAATTTGAAACTTTTCCAAATGAGATTACGTCCTTTTTATTTCTCTTCTATAGTAGATGACTTGTTTTTCTTATTTCTTCGTAAAAAGATCATGAAGACTTGCTATCCTATAAATAATGAGCTTATTTTTAACACAACTGGTTCTTTTGTAAGATATTTGTTGCTCCCCATATACACGCAAGTGTACGTGGTCGCGCAAGTATTATAGTTTCTTTTAGAAACGAGTTATCTTTCCCAAGGAATTTATGATCAACTTATATTCACACTTCATTCCACAATTAAAGAGAAAATTACTATTTCATGAGTTGATAGTGTATGGTTAACTACGACTACTATGCACTAATTTAAAGTAAACAAGGATGAACAAATTTGATAATGTTTCAAGCAAGTTAAAGGCAATTCCAGAGTTGCATCATATAAAGAATTAATGTCATGTATCATATTATCGGCTTCAAACTAACTTCAGATGGCAAATTACTAATTATAGGGTTGATAGTGTGATCCAGGTTCCACACCTCTCGTTGTCTACCCCAACTAGCTATCTAATTACATCGTTGAGAGGGGATGAATACACTAACTGGTGAGCACATATATTTCATCCTATTTTATAAAAAATCAAGGTGTTCGTCTTCCAAGAGTCACTCCTGAACACTAATCTCCTCAATTTAATGATCGGATCGAGCTCACTATATTCCATGGTCTATCTATTCTCTTCTATGGTCAATTCATGATTATACACTAGGTTTATTTATAGTGTGCATGCATAAAATAGTAAAACAAGAATATAAAAGTAATTGAAATTGACAATCGAAGATTAATTCATAAAACCTTAAATACTTGACAATCAATTCATAGCTACAACCCCAAAACTAGGGAATTTAGCCACTCATGCTCTTAGTAATCAACAAAAAGATAATTGTTCATAAACAAATCCGAAAAATAGAAGAGTTAGGGGGATTACAATCTTTATTTTGCCCTTCACACTAAAGAAAAGTCAAACCTTAATTATGGAAGTCATAGGATCTATTTATAATAGTAGATAAAGTTAAGAACAAATCCTTCTCAAAATAGAACTCTTATCTAATGCTTAAAACTTGGAAAAGTCGGAAAGTGGCTGGGCAGCGCGCCTCTATCGCGCCTAGTACATCAAGTACTGAGGTTATGTATGGTGCAGCGTGCCATCATCGCACCTGAAAACATCCTCTACATGTCAAGCCTTGGCGCGGCGTGTCTAGAAGTGCACCTCAAAACTGGCTCTAAGCGTAAGGCTTGGGCGGTGCGCCTGTGGTGCGCTAGCCTAGGTACTTCTATTTTTAGCCATTTTTTCACCTCAGCCTTTATTCCTTTTTCTTTGTTCCATCTCCGCTTTCTATGAGAGTTGCTGAAATCACTAATCATGTGTAAGTGTGTAATGATCACAAGCAACCACAAATCACTAATCCTCAAAGACTCTCTTTCATATATTAATAAAAAGTCTAATTTATTACAAAACAATTGTTGCATTATTGCTTACGAAACATAAAACTCATTAAAAGTTTATAAGTTTTGCACTCAAAAATAACTTATTATTCCAAGCTAATACATCACAATGCTTAATATAATTCACACACACACAAAAACTCATTAAAAGTTTATAAGTTTTGCACTGAAAAACAACTTATTATTCCAAGCTAATACATCACAATGCTTAATATAATTCACACACACACATACACACACACACACACACACATATTGACTGGGTGTGTAACGCGTGGGAATCTGCAGAACAGTTCGGGTCAAATCCTGAAGAAAGCTAAAAAGCCATTCCCAGTCCTCTCGTACTAGGGAAAGATCCTCTCACGCCTATCATCTAAAGCAAACTCGAGGATTGGTATCTTGCGCGCTAATTTTATTGATCTCGAGTGCTTTGGTTTTGCAAGCTTGTGGTTTATTGCGCCCTTTATAAGCTTTACAAACGTATTCTATAAAATTCTGATAATCCTACAATCAAATATAAAATGTATTCATTCATATCATACGTGAAAGAATACAAGAGAGAGAGAGAGAGAGAGAGAGAGAGAGAGAGGGGACTAACTTCTTGAAGTGGCTGATTATTTACTAGCAGCCATGGTACAAACCTATGAGGAGGTTTCAGTTTTGTAGTTTCATCTGCGTATGCTGTCTCTAGCTGTAAGTACATTTTACATTAGAAAATTTATCAATTTCTACTTAAATAAAAACAAAAAAAGTTACAACTAACTTTGACAGACATACTTCTTATTTTTTGAGCTTTGAAGATCAATATTCAATAATAGTGAATAAATTCAAATTTTTAAAGAAGTAAGCCATTTAAAAGTATTTAACAAACAAATAAGTTATATTTAAAAACGAGGATTTGTTTTACCCACATGATCTTTTATTTTAATAAGCTAATAAAAATGAGAACTTTTTTATAGACTTGTAATCTTGATGGAATGTATGCATCCACTAACTATGACAAGACTAGGTCCTTTATACAATCAAGACGAGGAAAAGCAAATACTAGAAGTCAAGAGAAAACACGAGACTTTACGGGTTTGTTTGGTATGGAGGAAAATGTTTTTCAATTTTCTCATGTTTGGTTGGGTCAAATGTTTTCGAAATCAACTCATTTTCCTCAAATTTAAGTAAAATGACTTCCCTTCAAAACTTAAGGAAAACATTTTTCAAAACTCTCTTCCAACCTCCCCCTACCCACCCCACCCCCTACCAACCCCCAACCCCTAAAAATTTATGTTTATTTTTTAATAAATATTTTCAACTTCAAAATTTCATTTTTTTTCAACCCTATTCTCAAGTCCCACCCCCAACCCCTACCACCCTCCATTCCTAAATAAAACAATTTAAGTTTGATTTTAAAAAATATTTTCAACTTCAAAAATTCCTTTTTATCACACCTACCCTCTACCCCCCACTCCCCCAAAAAATTAAGTTTTGTTTTTAAAAAATACTTTTACTTCAAAATTCCTTTTTTAACACCTACCCTCGATTCCACCCCCACCCCAGCTACTACCCTCCCCCCTTAAAAAAAATATAAGTTTGTTTTTTAAAAATATTTTTAACTTTAGAATTTCATTTTTACACCCCTATCAGCCCTCCCCCCCTCCCCCCCCCCCCCAAAAAAAAAAAGTATTGTTTTTTTTTTTAAAAAATCAACTTCAAATTTTAATTTTTTCACTCCTACCCTCGAACCCCGCATCCCCACCCCCACCACGAAAAATATTTTAAGTTTGTATTTTTCAAAAAATTCAACTTCAAAACTTATTTTCTATCTAGTATTTCTCAAAAATATTTTTCACTCAAAAATCAAACACAAAAATATTTTTTCAGAAAATATTTTCTACTCACCAACCAAACATGAGAAAATAAGTCAAATATCTACTTATTTTCCAGTAAAACATTTTCCTTCACATCAAACACACCCTACGTGGAAATCTCCTTTCTCTAGGGAGTAAAACCACGACCTGTCACACTAGATTTTCAAACTATTTTCATTAGTCTTCTCGAGCAAAAGTTAAACACAAATTACAACTAACAATAAGATTAAACTCTTAATCTCAAAACTAAGTAATATGCCTATTACTTACTGAGACTAAGAAATGCATCCATTGCCCACTATATTAATCCTCACTAATTAATATAAACTTTAACCGTAAGACACAAAGTTATCTTTAACAATGTTCTTACAATGACTCACACAAAGATTTGAAACGTTTCTAACAAGAGTGAAATGAACCCCACAAGTTTAATATAATACAAGAATTAAAAACAAAAAGCCTACAAAAGCACTTCCTGCAATGATCAGGTCCCTTGTTGCTTATTTTGTTTTATGCTTGATTTTTCTCTCTTTGAATGAATAGTCATGTTAATTATTCGCATTTTGATTATATCAACAAAAAATAATGATTGACCATTGGAGAAACAACCTCATCTATTTCTATTAGTTATGTACGCTGACGACTTCACCAACCCACTATTAGGACATCTTTTTAGATGTACAAAATATTGCCCTGAAACAGATGAGGTTATTTGTCCAATGGTCAATAATTCTTTTTGGTTGATATAATCAAAATGAAAAACAACTAACTATTCTATTTATTCAAAGAGAGAGAAATCAAGCATCAAACATAATATAAAAGAAGGGACCTAATCAACACAAGAAGTGCTTTTTGTGCAGGCTATTTGTTTTTTAATGCTTGTATTGTACTGAACTTATAGAATTCGTTTTACTCTTGTTAGAATTGTTTCAAATCTTTCGGTGAGTCATTGTAAAAACATTGTTAGAGTTAACTTTGTGTCTTACATTAAAGTCTATATCAATTAGTGAGGATTAATATAGTGGGCAATAGAAGCATTTCTTAGGCTCAATAAGTAATAGGTTATATTATGTAGTGTTGAGATTAAGAGTTTAATCTCAATATTGTTTGTACTTTGTGTTTCATTTTTGCTTGATAAGATTAGTAAAACTAATTGAAAATTATGTGTGCCATGTCGTGGTTTTACTCCCTTGAGCAAAGAGGTTTCGACGTAAAGTCTCGTGTGTTCTCTTTACTTTCACTATTTGCTTTTTTGCAGCTTAACTATACTATGGACTTGACCATGCCATAATTAATGGATGCCTACATTCCATCAATTGTTATTAGAACAAGATTTTGTCTAACTGCTAACACCAAGCGAAAGAAGATCATGGAGGAATGGTTGCTCCACCAAATATTGAAGAAGGTTAGTCTACCACTTATCCACCTAGATTCAACGACCAATACAATGGATGCTGGAAAATATGAATGCAATATTATATTATGATGGAAGACAATGAATTGTGGGATGTGATACTCGATGTGCCTTACATTCCTACCAAGGACTTGAAGGAATGAGATCTCACTAGAGTAATTCAAAGTCCAAAAGAGAATATGATGCAGTTTATAGAAAGAAAATAAAAAGAATTATAAAGCTAACAAGTTACTGGTCTATGGCATTGGTGCAGATGAATACAACATAATTTCTGCCTATGAGGGTGAAGAAAATCTGGGACTACTTGAAAACAACCCATGAAAGAACAACTCAGGTCAAAGAGACCAAGGTGGACATGTTAGCGACTCAATATGAAAATTTTAGTGTGAAAGAGGGTGAAACCATCCATGAGATGCACACCAAGTTTACCTCCATCAAAAATAAACTAAGGTGCCTTGGTGAACCTATTCTTCCAAGCAAGCAGGTTCAAAAAATTCTCAGAGTTCTTCCCAAATCACGGAAAAGCTAGGTAAATGCCATAACTAAGCTAGAGATTTTAAGGTTCTCACCAAGGATTAATTTATTGGGAATCTGTAGACGTATGACATGAACAGACAATAGGAGTCTTTGAAAAAGAAAGGAAGAAAAGTGAAGTTTGTATCCTTAAAGGTGTGCCAACATGATATATCTGAAGAAGAAGATGAAATGACCTATTTGAATAAAAGATCTCAAAAAATAGTCAGAAACATGGAGGTTTTCAGAAGAAAGGAACCACCAATATAATAACTGATGCTAATGACTTCTGTCACAAGTGTGGAAAGCCAAATCATTTTATGAGAAATTTCCAGATCCAACAAACCTGAAGGGTAAGAAATCAAACCTAGACAAAGGGACCTGATCCCTTACCATGCTAAGAGAAAGGCCTATGCAAATCAAGTTGTAAAGGACTTTGCAGCATGGGAAAACACCTTCGGTGACTCTGAAGAGGAAGAACATCCAATGAAGCAAATATCTTCAACTCACTTTTCTCACTAATGTTAATTTGATGATGAATAAGACAAGGATGATGTAACTCTTTTCGATCTTAAAAGTGATTTAGATACCTTATAAATTAAGAGATTGAGAAATCTTCTTGTTGTTTTGATTGACTATGTTAATGAGAGAACAAATTAAAATTTGTCTCTAAGTCAAAATTTTCATAAACCTCTTTGACGATGAAAAAATCACCCTTATTTCACAGCTTTCTGATATGAATGTTAGGCTGAGTATTCTCGAAGCTGAGGATCATCAACTTCATGAGGTACCTGGTACCTCTGAGACTGGAAAGAAAAAAACTCAGCAGTTTTGAACTTGATCTAGAGGAAAGCCTAAAACTTTCTGAGTCCAAACTAGTCGCTGCTCTTGAGAGGAACTCACAACTAGTAAGAGACCTAAGTCAAGTCAAGAAGAGATAAGTCACTCCTTGAAATGGACTGACTCTTCTAAGATTCTTTCAAACTTCGCTAATCAGAAATTTAACACTAAAAAGGTTTTGGGATTTTAGAGGATGAAATCTCCATACAACCCTCACACAAAGTATGTGTCAGTGTTTGACAACCTATTGTGTACTCATTGTGGTAGAAACGATCACTTGAAAAGAAATTGTGAATCTTTGAAAAAAATTAAAAGACAATCAAGAAAGTTTCTGTAAAACTAGAGAAAGAAAGAAGAAAAAAACAAGGTACCTAGTCCTAAATATCACTTTAGCAAGAATACTTTGCCTCCTTGGACTATAAGGTTTCTTATCAAACCTGTCGACAATTTTTGGGAACCCCATCTCAAGTGGCCTCTTAAATTTAACAAGTGATTATTTTGCAGAAGAGAGGAATCAATCAATGTTGGTTCATGGACAGTAGTTGCTAAAAGCATATGACTGGAGAAACTCAACTCTTTCTCTTTAGAAGCACATCAAGGTTGTGGTGTCATTTAGAGATAAGAAAAAGTGATTTATTCTTGGTATTGGAAGGATTGGAAGTTCTCTGGAATACTCCATAGATAATGTGTACAATGTAAATGGGTTGAAGTAAAACCTACTCTGTGGTCTCAAATATGTGATAAAGGAAATGAAGTAAGATTTGTGTCAAATCTATGTCTCATCATTAATCTTACTTCCAACAAGGTCATTCTTAGTGCAAGAAGAGTTAAGAACATGTATGCTACAGATCTGAATTCTATAGCTTGAGATAGTCTCACATGTCTTAGTGTGCAATCTTGTATTCAAATCTGTGGCACAGAAGACTGGGACATCTAAGCTCATCTCTATTGAACAAACTAGTTGCAAGGGATCTAATCTGTGGAATAAAAATGTTCTCTAGAAAATAAAATTTGTGAGGCTTGCGTAAGAAGGAATCAAAGAAGATCATCTTTCAGGTCAAAGAA